AATACTCAAGCAGTGTTCAACTCACCAATCAGCATATGACTGCTATTCTTTTGTTGTTGTTGTTTCATTTAAATCAGGATTTATACAAGATTCACAAATTATGACTGGATGTTATGTCTCTTAAGTCTCTATTAACCTGTGTTCCCTCTCTACCTCACCTCTTTCCCCAACCTTGCACCTGATCTATCAAAGAATCTGGGTCATTTGTCTTGTATAGTTTCCCACCATCTTGACTTGACTGATTGCATGTCTATGGTGTTAACATGCTTCCCAGTGTTCAGGATTTCCTATAAATTGACATTTGGATCTAGATTCTTGATTGGATTTAGGTTTAATTTCTTTTGCCAAGACTACTTCATAGTGTTATATTCTTCCATCAGGAAGATCACAATACTTAGTAAACTCCCAATTTACTATTATCTTTTTATATTATCAGTGATTGATGATAAATGCATCGATCCATTATTTCATCAGGAATGACAAAAAAGTAATATTCTTCTTCTATCATTGCTTCTTCATTTATTAGCTAGGATACCTCTATATAGAGAAACTTCCCCTTCATCTACTATTTTGTTACCCAGTAATACCATTCATACAGGAAATATACCTTATTCTTTAATTCTTTTATCAGTTTTCCAAATAATAAGTTGGTTCACTAGCATCCCTTACCTTGCTTACTTATTTATCATTATGAACTCATGAATGCATTGCTATTACTACCCTTCCTGATGTTCTAATCATCCCTCTTGGTCCAGTGGGAGCTTCAACATGACACCTGGGCAATGCTGACACAACCCCAGTCACCTTTCATAGCTTTCCTTATTTTCTGATATGGCAGGATGACCCAGAATCACCTCCTGCATTTCCTGCCTGGATCAGAATTCAGCATTTCTCCAAAAAGCTCTGGTCCCTCTTAATAGAAAATACTATTTTCAAAACACAATCTGGACATCAGGAATGCTCAGTTACTGGGTTGGAGTGTTAATTCAAGACATATTCAGTGAACACATACAGGATTTTCCCTTCCTCCCTCCTTCGTGTGTGTGTGTGTGTGTGTGTGTGTGTGTGTGTGTGTGTGTGTGTGTGTGTAACAAAACATACCACAGATTCATTATACGTTTTTTCAAACTGAGGACCATGGAATTTTTACTTATTCTCCTCTAACTTACATCTGTACCCTTTTCTTCTATATTCTGAATCCTGGATCCTCGATGGCACAAGGAATAACAGAATTAGAATATTATTATAATTCTTCATTTGCTCCACCTCATAACATCCAACCAACAATCTAAGACTAACAGGACCAATTTTACCAACAACAAACTGTTTTAGGGTTCTTGTTTGTTTGGCAGTCCTCCCCCCCCGCCCCGATCTTCCTTTGGTGGTATAAATTACTAAGTTTTACAGTCATCTGAAATAGTTAACTCTTGGATGAGTGAGCAACCAACTGGATATATAATTTATGTGTAGTTCCGTTATATGATTTTTATTTTAAGAATTACCATTTAACTATTAATATTATTATAAAGAATTTTATTTTTAAAATAAAATTTGACTATAATTACATAAAATATAATATGGTTTGAACACCAAATATACAAACAAGAGGTTGCCTCACTTCTATTCCACTTCATCCATCTTATTCTCTCTGTTCCCCATAGCTACCTATTCTTTATGGTTATCCTTTTTTATTTTATTTCATCAACATAAGAAGCTTTTATGTAAATAGTCTTTCACTGTGTGGTCTATTTTATTCACTTTCTCATTTTTTAAAGCACATTTTTTGGAATTTGGGAAAATTTGTATTTTTACTCTAATAAAATATGTTTGTGTAATATTGCCCATAATTCCCTCTTTTTTGTTATTATGGTCTCTCGATTACCTTCTATGAGCAATATCATTATTAGCTGGTCATCATGTTTCGTCCTTCAGTTTAAGGGCATTACTCAGAATGTTGTTCAATATACTGGGCTCAAGAAAATTTTTCTCAAGTGTCAGTTTGAGCTTAGATAATTGCTATTTTTGACCATAAGGACAATGATTCATTTAATTCAGGGTTTCTCTACCTCAGCACTATTGACATTTTGGGCTGGAGAATTGATGTGGATGATGTCCTATGCCTTGTAGGATCTTTGGTAACATCCATGGCCTTAATCAGACACTCAGAGTATACCCCAAATCTTTATCAGTTGTGACAACCAAAAATATCTCCAGATATCATCAACTGTCCCTTGTGGGAAAATATCAATCATATCTGAGAACCACTAATTTAACTAAATCAAGGTTCTCACTTTATATGTACTACAAGGACAAATTAGTGGCAACTTCTAAAAAAGCATGAAAAGATCTTAAGATGAGAATTCTGTGTATTAAATTCACCTAGGCTTTATCTTAATTCTCAAACTTAATATCCACTGTTCTAGTGACAAATTGCATACTTTTCTTAGCTTCCATCAGTTCTTCATGCAAAGAAGGAGAGGAGTGAATTCAATCATATCAAGACTTGGAAAACAGAGGAAAGTTATCACTTTCTTTCTTCAAGGTAAGCATTAGGAGTTTATCTAAAATCTTTTATTAACCATGCCCCTAATTAGAGTTGATTATTCCTCAATTCAGCAAATTTCTACGTATTGCTGGCTTCTTTATTTTCCTATCTATAAATCAGGAAGACCACTAAACATAAATTCCTTGTTGATAAAGACTAGGCCTTATTAACTCAACTCTGGACTCATTTTGTGTAAAAACAGCATTTAAATTTTAACACACAGGACCAGCCAAATGTGGGTGGTGGTGTTTAAGAAATGTTGTTGCATCCAGAACAAAAGACAGAAACTGATGGAAAGTATGCCATTCAAATTCTTCTTAACATAAAGACAGCATTTACCTTTCCTCTTAACACTTTTTTAAGGTGCAGTTAAATTAAATGTGCATCCTTCATAAAACATGAATTAAAAACTACAACAATAACACACAAAAAAGCTCTGTATTTAATTATATAAATTAGGGTGTAATTATTCACATAAAGACACTATTTTCCAAATACCAGGCACATGAATACCTGTACTATTATTTAATTAAAATTTATTATAAGTCACATTTAGAAATAAGTCAATCAGAGAAACAATTATTATATGATTTCACTCGTATAAGGAACATATGAAACAGGGCAGAGGACCGTAGGGGAAGGGAGGGGAAAAAAGAATGGGAAGTCATCACAGAGGGAGACAAAGCATGGGAGACTCTTAATTATGGGAAACAAATTGAGGGTTGCTGGAGAGGAGGTGGGTGGAGGATGGGGTCATTGGTGATGGGCATTAAGAAGAGCACATAATGTAATGAGCACTGGTCGTTATTCAAAACTGATAAATTATTGAACACTACATCAGAAAATTTAAAAAAAAAAATCACATTTAGGCAATCCACTTTTTATAAATGAGTTTATTCCAAGAAGATAATCATTAGAGCATGGGCTTAATGAGCCGGTATGCAATCAAAGAAAGTAAAGTAACTGGTGTACCACTTATATATTACCTTGCATACCATACATGGTACACACCTCACATTTGGAAAAACACTGCCCAAAGCAAATCCAAGATAAGATTTTTAAAAGAGCATATCCATGCAGTAAACAAATGTTCCACAAAATTAGTTTAAAATATGTTTGTACATGTGTACAAACCTAAATTTTATAAAAAATAAACTATATTCTAAATATTATCTAACTATATTCTATATAGAATTTTGTATATTATTATATATTATTACCTATTATATATGAAGATCTACTGATGACTATCAGTAAAATCACACGAGACTACTGGTAAGATTAGGGGCGCCTGCGTGGCTCAGTCAGCTAAGCACCTGCCTTCGGCTCAGGTCATGATCCCACGAGCCCCGCATCGATCCTTGCTCAGCAGGGAGCCTGCTTTTCCCTCTCCCTCTGTCTGCTTCTCCCCCTATTTGTCTCTCTTTCTCTCTTCACATAAATAAATCTAAAAAAAAAAAAAAAAAAGACTACTGGTAAAATCACACAACACCTGAAAAACTGCAATGTTTCTAACTAGATGTGACTAAAAGATAAATGATTTTTGACTTACCCATTTCTTGAAATGGACCTTCTTATTCTTAAAAACTACTCAATTATAAGATTAGACCATTACAAACACTAAATTTATTTTTAGCAAAAGTTCTTCACTTTTGTGTAAACCTGCCAGGAAGAGCTGACAGATTTCTTCAGGCAAGTGTCCTAGAACTTGAGTCCTCTATGTCCCTGGGCTCCTCATATAAACTCACTAAGCCCTGTATCTTCTTTCCTTGAGACAGTATTCTAATAGCAGCTCTTCCAGATCTCTGACAATAATTCTGGCCCTGACATCTCTTCAGATAAAGTTCAAGTAATGGCTGTATCCAAGTTGATTATCCACCAAAGATGCTATGTTTGGGTTCAGTGTGAAGGCCTCTATTTCCTATTTGATCTAGCATTCAGATGAAAAACATGGAAAGAAAAATCCAGGAATATGGGCGCCTGGGTGGCTCAGTCGTTGAGCGCCTGCCTTCGACTCAGGTCATGATCCCAGGGTCCTGGGATCAAGTCCCGCATCGGGCTCCCTGCTCCGCGGGAAGCCTGCTTCTCCCTCTCCCACTCCCCCTGCTTGTGTTCCTGCTCTCGCTGTCTCTCTCTGTCAAATAAATAAATAAAATCTTTAAAAAAAAAAAAAGAAAAAGAAAAATCCAGGAATATAACTTTAACTATTATCCTTATTTACCTTTAGTGAGCAATTAAAAGTCTACCAGTCTGAAGTAAAGTAAGCCCAATGTACTGAAATGTGAAGCATCTTGTCTACCTCTCCAGCAAAAGACATTTGCCCAGGTTCTAAACTTAATCAATTTTTGATAAAAACAGATAACGAATTCCATTCACAGGAGCATGGCTGGATAACAAGAGTTGGCATCCCGTAAATTAAGATGAAACATGTAGAGAAGAAAGAGCTTTCACTTACTTGCACGAAGGACTGAAGGTGTGACCTCAATTTCACTTGTTGCTTGATAAGGCTGAAAGGCTGAAACACTGTTGGTGCCAAGCTCACTGCCAAATATCTCTGGACTCTGGGTACCTGTGGAACTGGCACTGGTGCCGTCACCTCCATGGTGTGGGTCTTGCTCGTCAAACACTGCTACCAGCTAGAAATGAAAGATACGTTTGCATTTATAAGCAAAGGCATTTAAAACTGCCACCAAACAACTGGTGAATCACTGAACTCTACCTCTGTAACTAATACATTATACATTAATTAGCAGAATCTAAATAAAATTAAATTTAAAATAAAGTAAAACAAAATTGCTACTAAAGTTACACCACATTTGACATAAATCTACAGAGGAAAAATACTGACATTTAAGCACCCAGGAATATTATGTTTTAGGAAGCAAAACTTCAAAGACATCGTCTTCCCCTGAGTTTTGATGCTTTACTTTTGTATTTCTAAGTTGTGCATTTCATATCTGAAATTCTATTGGTGAAAAATAATAAAATGGTTTTATATTACAGAATGCTAAGGGAGATGGGGTAGATTTAAATCTTTTTGTAAATGATATATTAAGTGGAAAAGCAAATACATTTCTATATATAATACATATATATGCTCTGCAGTACTACATATATATAGCAAAAGATATAAGGTACCTTTCACATAGGAGGAAGGAGTAGTAAAAACTACACATGTGTCAGCCCATTTGTGCATAAGAAATACAAGAAGGATAAAAGATATGGTTGTCTCCCAGGAATTGGTAAGAACAGGGATGAAAGAAAAAGAAAATGGGAGCAACAAGGTTAGTGGGAAGGAAAAGACTTAAGTAATTTTGGAAAACTATTTTCACTGTTTACTGTTAAGGCTAGAGACAAAAAAAAAAAACTGTCATTAACTTGTTTCTCACAAGCATATGGTTTAGAAATCCTCACACTACTACACACACACACACACACACACACACACACACACACACCAGGAATGAATAAAAAGAAAACTATTTTGGATAATGAGTATCAAAATTCTCCCTGTCAGAAACAGAAGTTACAAATAAAGAAATAAACTCCGTGATATTAGATTAAAATTAGAGGCATCAAGATGAACACTTGTTTTTTTATAAGTGGGTAGGTAGGGGGACAGAGAGGTATGAATGCATGTTAATGCATGTGTGGTTCTTAGCTCCCCCCCACTGAGAGGTCCTAGAAGCAACCACACACAGTATGAAGGAACACAAGCACCCGGATCTTGGATTCTGTTACCATTTTCCAATAAATAAACAAGGGCTCCTTAAAAAAATAGTTAATCCAGGATTGGGGCAGAGAAAATACATGATGGGCCTGGAACACCTCTGAGGTTAAAAAGTAAAGAGCACTCGAAAGTGAAAGAGGCACATCAAAGGGAATCAGGTGTCGACCCAAAGGAGCTCCCAATGGCCAAAGCTGGGACAACTCATCAACAAGTCAATAATGATACAACTGGATTTTAACTCAAAAACAAACTAAATACCTGTAAGGCCATAATGATACAAATAAATAATTGAAGAAATAATTAATGGTGGAAATAGACCACTCTTCCATACTGTAGCATTCGATTTAATAAAAAGAGAAGGAATGATGGAAATAGAAGTCATCACCAAGCAATCTCCACAGCAAGAATTGCTGCAGGTGAGATCACCAATGGAAGCTAAAATCACTAGGTGAGCATATCACGAGAAACAGGGTATTTGCCTATCTCAAAGTATCTCCCCACAAAATACTTTTTCATTAAAAAGAGAAAAATGGTATTTTTGCAGGGGAGAAACTTGGCAGACACCACTTTATCAAGGTTAACATCACCAGTAATGAGTCATATCACCCTCTGATAAAATGCATGGAGAAGGAAATAAAATTACTTTGGTGGTATTCCTGCTAAAAATGCATATCTTTGATCTAATCATGAGAAAACATCAGATAAATCCAAGTTGAGGGACAATCTATAAAATAACTCACACTCTTTAAAAATATTAAAGTGATGAAAGCAAAAGAAAGGCTGATGAAGTCGTGTAAATTGGAAGAGACCGAGGAGAAACAAGAATTACAGGCAGCATGAGGTCCTTGCCTGGATCGTGCACTAGAAGAAGGACACCAGGAGAAAAGAGGCAACACTCAAATGAGGGCTGTAGATTGGTTAACAGTATTTACTCAATGTTAGTAGTTTCCTAACTTTGATAATTGTACTATAGCTATGTCAGATTTTATATTCGAGGTGGATGAAGGGTGTATGCAACTATTTTTGCAACTTTTCTCAAGTATAAAAGTATTTCAAAATTAAACTTTCATAATACAGCATTACAAAATAACATGAAAATTAAAATTCAATCTATTTCTTCTGATAACCAAACAGTGACAGCACTTTAAAATCTCAGAGTAATAAAGTTCTAAGGGCCAGCACCACTTTGGTCATTCACATTACAACCCTATGCCTAGTAAACTACACGTAGCATTCCAGGGAAAGCAGAACCATAACTAACCCCAAAAAACCCACTCCTACGTACCTCCAATTCAAGCTTCTCCAATGCTAAAAGTCCTATCAATTAAAGGATGGTATGATAAATTTACAGAACATGAGAAGCATTTATAATTACAATCCTCATTTCATAGATGGTTTTGTCATTTTGAACAAATGATATTTCCAAGAACATTTATGTATTTTCCATCAATTCATAAGACAAAAAAAGAAAACCATCATAAGGTCATAGAGACATGGAGACAACAGGAAGCTCAGAACCCTGTTGTGGCATCATCTATAATTGGCTGATTAAACAACATGGAGGGAGGCTAAGTGGTAAGAAGAAATTAAAGTAGGATGAGCAGTTGGGCCACTCAACCTTACAATAAGCAACACAAGTGGGAAAAGAAATTCTTAGCAGTTATAAATAACAGAAAGGTGTCTGTATGTATGCACCAAAGTTTCCATAAACAGAAATAAAATCAGCCTGTTTACCTGACATTGACTGGGAACAACTCCCAGGGTTAGTAACAGACATTCTGCTAGATGAGCAGTCAGTAAACTTCTGAAAGGTCCAAAGAGTAAATATTTTTGGAGCTTTGCAATCCATGCAGCCTCTGTCACAACTACTCTACTTTGCCACTGTAGCACAAAAACAGCCACTGGCAATACATAAATAAATGAGCGTGACTAGGTTTAAATAAAACTTTATTTACAAAGCAGGTGATGGACCAAATTTTGCCCATAGGCCATAGTTCGATAATCCTGCACTAGAATGCTCATCCATCCAGTAACACCCAATTTACAATTTTCAATTTGGGAAATAAAACAATGAGACAAGGCACCCTGGTAACCCTGATAAACTACCAATATCTATTTCAAGCTCTTCACTGAGATTTTGAACTTCCATACTTGATTTTAATATCATCAGACTTCTCACAAGGTGTGTGGCTTAATATGGATTTTGAAGATATTAAGTTCTGACATTTGGTGTTTAATTGGAAGCAAATGAAATGCAAGTTTTGTTATTAACTTTTTACATTGGTATGTTTTCTCAAGAATCAAGTCCTTTCTGCAAACTGAGAATGGAGATTACAAATTACAAAGAATGTGTCTTTAAATGCCACACATGGAAGAACTTATACATATATATTAGTTTCAATAATTATCTCCAGCATTTTTAGAAAACACAAGTATTATGAAATCTGGACTGTGTCATGAACAAATGCTGTTTGAATTTCAGTGGCAGAATCACAGTTGGTGATTTGCAATATGCCAATAACATACAATTTCCACAGCTTTCTTTTAAACCAAAATTTAAGTGCCAGGTGCAGATATGAAGTAATTTTGTGTTAAATTGGGAAGGGTATATAATTTTAGAAAATCTACTCTACAAGAATGCATACAGTAGCACAGCAAAAGAAAACGAGACCTTCACAAAACATCACATTAAAAATCTCTATCATGCCCTTCAAAAAATAAAGGAAATGTCTGCTTTTAAATTGGTGAAACATGACTCATATCCATATCTTAACAGATGGAATCTTCACTGCTGTCCATGAAGTAGATCATTTTTTGAAAGTTCATTTTTACTTTCAATAGTTATGACTTAATCTCTCTTCCAATCCATTCATCCATCAAATCTCCGTGAGAACAGACATGTTGAATTTAGGGTAACACCCACAATTTAAGACAAACCCACATTCAAATAAACTCCAAACTTGGCCATACATTCCTCACCTACCTCAGGAAAAATGATTTTAACTCTCTGAAACATCAGAACCCTCCAAACTGCTTTTATTTTTTTTTTCAAGCTATTTTTAAAAGAGCACATGCAAACACTTATAAACCACTGGGATAGAGGGTAGCCCCTTTAATGGGCAAAATTATGTGCTGAAAGCCCAGAGCTGTGTGTAGCAAGATGTCTAAGAGCATAAGATTCAGAATCAAACAGACCTCCAATCAAAAATAGCTCTGATCTTACTTCGTAGATGGGTGTTGGTAAATCTACTGGCCTCTCTACCATCTCTCAGTCTTATAGTCCTCATCGCAAAAAAGAGGAAGGTGGTGGTGGTAGGCAGGATAATGCCCCTTGTTGTCTATGCCCCAAACCCCAGAACGCGGGGATGTTAACCTTTCATGGCAAAAGGGACTTTAAAACTATAATTCAGATCAAAGACCTTAAACTAGAGAGGTTATCCTGGATTATCCTGGGGAGGCGGACATCTGATCACTGAAATCTGGAAAAGCAGAGAACTTTTCCCAGCTGTGGTCAGGGAGAAATGTGACAATGATTAGAGAGATGCTACATTGCTGGCTTTGAAAATGAAAGGAAGCCATGAGCTAAGGAATGTAAGGGGCCTCTGGAAGGCAAAGAAATGGATTCTCTCCTAGGACCTCCAGAAAGGATCAGAGCTCTGCTCACACCTTGATTTTGGTCCAGTGAGGCCCATCTCACACTTCTATACTACGGGACTGTGAGTTCATCAATTTGTGATGTTTTAAGCCATGAGTTTGCAGTAATTTGTTATGGCAACAATAGAAAACTAATAGAACGCCCTTGCCTATCCTCCTACAGCTGTTGTGACAAATAAAGAGATAGGGTATATCCACTTTCAGAACACAATAAGCACACATTTACCATTAGCTATTTTTAAGTTATATTGT